CCACCTTAGGTGTATGTGGCTGGCGCCTTAGCCGCTTGAGCCACAGGCGCCGAGCCTGCATCAAGTTTCTATTCCAAATCAGGTCCCTCCCTGCTCCCACTGGAGCTCTGGATAAGCCAGATCTCTCCTTTTTTTTTTTGCAGTTTTTGGCCAGGGCTGCGTTTGAACCTGCCACTCCGGCATATGGGGCCAGCACCCTACTCCTTTGAGCCACAGGCGCCGCCCTCCAGATCTCTCCTTTTGGAGTTGCCCTCCCTTCCTTTCTTCTTCTCTTCTTCACTCTCTCCTTCCCTTCTTTCCAAGTTCAACTCTAAAGTCACCCCTTCTGGGTGTTCTGGAGTGAACACTTGACCTGCTCACCCCAACACCCCGAGGCTCACCCTCCTCACCCCATGACCCTGACTGCCCCCCACACCCAGGCTTCATGAGATCCACATCCTTTCGGTTACTTGTGCATCTGGGGGCCAGTGGAGAGGTGGCTGAGGACGGGGAGATGGAGCTGATCTTGACTCTCATGCTATGAGACTAAGTAGAAGCAGGTGAGCAGGTGAACAAGTGCTCTGAGCTTCCTTGTCAGGAAAATAGGAGAACACCAGCCTCCTAGCTGGGGACAGCAGGAGGATTTAATGAGAGGACACAGCATGGCTGCAGGCATTATGCATGATGCTCCCTCTGGCCCTTCAGGACTGCTCCTAAGTCATCTCCTCTAAGAGTCCTCCCTAACTTCATCACAAGCCATGACCCACTTGCCTTCTCTGGACACATAATTTTACAAGTCTCTCTCTCTCTGTAGTGGAATCCTTCATAAATTTGCATGTCGTCTTTGCTCAGGGCCATGCTAATCTTTGTGTTGTTCCAAATTTAGAATATGTGCTACCTAAGCAAACACATATAGATAGCTCTTGATGTATTTGTTTATCATCTATTCCCCTCTGCTAGAATGTTATGAGGTGGATGAGGGCAGGGGCATTGTCTATACTGTTCATCACTGAATTCCAGGTACCTTGAATAGTGCCCGGCAGATAGTGACTGAGCACCAGGGCTGTAGCAGGGGTTTTATAAATTACTGTGCATCTCTGTCTAGTTTGCCCAACTCACCTTCGTGCCTGAAGGAATCCCAGCTCAAATGACCTGCCTAACTCCCGTAGTGGGAGCACAGCCCTGCCTGGGTTTCTGTGTGGCCTGCCTCAGACAGGAGAGGCTATGCCTGGAGGCCACCTTAATGACCTGCTCTTCAGGACTCAGGCCAACAGGTCTGCCTATTCCATTCCTTCTATGTAAATAACTGATGTCAGGACTCATGGATCCTGGAGCTGTACAGACCTTGTCAGGGTTGAGGACATCCAAACAAGATCTATAGGAATACCTGCCATAGCAGAGACTTGGGTTCTGATTCCAGCTCTGTCTGTCATCTGCTGTGTGACCTTGGGTATCAGACTGACTCTATGGATATATCACTTTTCTATTATATGTGTTTAACAAACATTGACAGGGCATTAATAACTTGGCAAACGTTGTTCTAAGAGCTTTACATACACGTAACTCATTTAATCCTCCCAAGAACTCTGAGAGATGAATTAATAGTATCCCCCATTTTAAATATAACAAAAATGAGGCACAGAGAGGTAAACTGACTTTCCCAAGGTTATACAGCTAGTAAATACTGGGATTCAAGCCCGGTGGTCCTGCCCAGAGTCAGTGTTAGCAACCACTATGCCAAGCCATACTGGGGAATGCCTGGGAAGGGCCAGTCTTTGCCTTCCAGGAATTTGAATTTGCTTCTTGGGATAGTGCCTCCATTGTTTGGCTACACATTCACCTTCCTGTCATTTGGCTTTTCTAAGTAAGATTCTCCCTACCCTTCTCCAAATCCAATCATGCACTCCCCCTTACTTCCAGAAGGAAACAGCTACTAGTGTACCAGAAAATTGGCTCACTAGATGGGGACACTAATAGAGTGTTTGTTGATTGCTGTGGTGTAAATACTCCTACCACAGCCAACTTCCGGCTACTAACCTGATGTCACTGAGCATGCAGCTACAAAGAGACACACAAAGTCAGATCTCAAGAGTCACAGCGAGAGAGCTCCAGCACACCATTACGGCAGCAGGGATGAGTAAGGGGCTGTGATGAGTACAAAGCACTAGCTCATCCCTGAACCTGGTGACCATGCTCCCATTACACACAACTTCTCCCTGCCTCACAGGCTCTGCCTGGTCTACGCCCCCTCACACTTGCCTGCAGCTGCCCTTCCTAAGCCACCAGGACATGTGGATCTGCTTTGGTCACCCGGAAAGAGGGCGTACCAGCTAGGCAACTTCAGAGCAGCACAGCTCTGGCGTGACATGCAGCCGGCAGCAACCCAGCTGTGGTTCATCTTCCTGTTTAGAGCAGCCGTTCCTCCTTGCCTGGTATTTCCTAGTTGCTTCCAGGATAAAGTTCCAACTATCTCAGCCTGTTGAACAAGGCCTGCCCCTATCCAGGCCCTGTCTTTCTCACACCACCAACCTCCATTCTCACCATCCCATAGACATGTCTTACTCTTCCCTATCACCACTCCTTTGCTGGAATTGTGTGCTGCCTGTCAGGAATGCCATTCCTCTGCTTTGCCAAGGATGGGGAGGACCCTCATGGCTCTCAGCTGGCCCAGTTTTTCCCTAGGCTGGCTTTGCCAGGCACTCTCACCCACAGGGCTTCCTCCCTCCTGGGCCACCTGTAGGATTTATGGTACAGCAGGCTCTTAGACCTGGAATTTTCAAATAAAACTCAATTGTGAGTTTCTTGAGGGCATGAGTGTCTTATTTTTCCCTGTCCTTTGTACCTACTTAGCAATGTGTTGTAAATCCTAATCTGTTTCCCCAAATTTTGCTGAGACCTGTGAAGACATTGAGAATACATGGACAGATGTCACAGTCCCTGTGTTCAAGAAGCTCATACCCTAGTGAGGGAGGCAAAAGGAAATCGAAAATGACACTATCATCTGCAGGTGGGAGCGCAGATTGGCTCAAGCTTTTAGGAGAACCGTTTGGCAAGGTTACCAAAGCAGTAAACAGGAGCACCTCATTTATCCCGACGATTCCATAGATATTTCGAGAAACAAATTGAAATAAACAAAGGAGCATGTAGGTATTGTTGAAAAACAGGTATTGTTCATCCTCTGTATCAATAAAGAGAATTTCCAGCATCACAGGTTAAAAAAAAGGAAAAGGGAAAAATGCCCAGATGGGATGTTCCAGATTTGGAGGGTATGTTTGGGATGGCCTGGCTAAAAAAATACACTAAGTGTTTAGAATGAAATTCACTTGGCTGATGGGGGTGGCAGGAGGGGTGAAGGTCCGCTTTGAGGCAGGCTACTGACCTCTTTCACACCCATTCCATATCCACTTTTTATATTTTAAAATTTATAGATATGAATAATCATAAAAATAATAAAACTTACATAGTCCTTACTATGAGCCACACACTGTTCTACATTGGTTAACTCCCCACAATGCTGTGAAGCAGATACTATTATTAATATTATCCCTTTTTACAGATATGATAATGGAAGCCCTGAATAAGTAAGCAACTGCCACAGTTACACAGCAAGTTAAGGTATGGAACTAGGACTCGTCCAGTTCATGCCCACGGAAGCCCTTTTGTACCCCTTTCTGACCCCATGCCTGCCCTTCCTCCCTCGAGGCAACCACTGCCCTCAGGATGTTGCATACTATTCTTATAACTGCTTTTTAGTTGTTCTGCATAAGTACATATCTAATAGGGGTGTCCAATCTGCAGCCCCCAGGCTGCATGAAAATTATATGAGGACTTTTTTTTTTGAGGCAGAGTCTATGTCACCCTCACTATGTAGCATCACAGCTCACAGCAACCTCCAACTCTTGAGCTTCAGCAATTCTCTTGCCTCAGTCTCCCAAGTAGCTGGGATTACAGGCACCCACCACAATGCCCAGCAATTTTTTTGTTGCAGTTGTCATTGTTGATTTTAGCTGGCCCGGGCTGGATTCAAACTTGCCAGCCTCAGTGTATGTGGCTAGCGCCCTACCCACTGAGCTACAGGCACCAACCTATATGAGGACTTTTTTTGTTTGTTTTGAAACAGAGTCTCACTCTGTTGCCCCTAGTCTAGAATGCTGTGGCATCATAGCTCGCTGCAACTTCCAACTCTTTGGCTCAGGTGATTGTCTTGCCTCAGCCTCCCAAGTAGTTGGGACCATAGGTACCTGCCACAATGCCTGTCTAGTCTTTTTTTCAATTTTTAGTAGGGGGGGGGGTTTGCTCTGGCTCAGGCTGGTCTCCAACTCCTGAGCTCAAACAATCCACCTGCCTCAGCTCCCAGAGTGCTAGGATTGCAGGAATGAACCACTGCATCCAGCCAGGACTTTTTTGCTTGTCTTTGGTAGCAGACAGCATGAAAATTATGCACAGATCTCATTTTTTTTTTACTCATCAGCTTTTGTTAGTATTCGTGTATTTAATGTGTGCCCCAAGACAACTCTTCTTCTTCCAATGTGGCACAGAAAAACCAAAACAGTTGGCTCCCCCAGCTTGTAAACATACCAGACTGGATCATTCTGCAGCTTTTTTTTCATTTAAGATTGTCAGTAAGGTCTGCCCATGCTGAGTCATCTAGCCCAGGGCTTCTCAACCTGGCACTACTGACATTTTGGGCTGGATAACTCTTTTGTCGTGGGGGACATCTTGCGCATTACAGAATGTTTAACAGCATCCCTGGTTTCTACACCCTCTCCCAAGTGTGACAACCAAAATGTCTCCAGACAGTGCCAATTACCTCTGAGGCACAGATAAAATCAGGAGCACGGAGGAGACAAATTCATTCTAGTTCATTTGGTTTTACACTGTGTAATATTTTGTTGTATGAATGCACTATAAATTAGTTTCTGTTGATGGACTTTGAGGTTTGTTCTCATTTTTTTTTCTGCTATTGCAGTGTAATACCTGTATTTGAGTGAAACTCTCTATACTCAGTTCCTTGTGAACATGAGAAAGTTTTTCTTTTTTTTTTTTTTTTTTCAGTTTTTGGCCAGGGCTGGGTTTGAACCCACCACCTCCGGTATATGGGGCCAGTGCCCTACTCACTGAGCCATAGGCACCACCCGAGAAAGTTTTTCTAGAATAATTACTTAAAAGTAGAACTGCAGGCTCTCAAGCTTTGTGCAGCTTCTACCCTTACCAAATCCAGCAAAACTGCTTCCAATGTATGGTAGTTTTCAAATTTTCGGATAGGCAAAATCATTAATTAGCCTTTTCCTGTATAATTTCTGGTTTGTGACATGCCTGGAAATCACCTCCATTTACATTTTGATCTGTCTGGAAATGACTGTAGCTGAAGGAGAAAAGTCACTAGCCAGATGTTTTAGCACTACTTATCAACACATCATTGAATAACATGCATCCATTTTAAAAGCTAGGTGTTTTTACAGATTTAGGTAATTTTCTAGGACTTATGTCAACCTTGTCAACAGATACTATTTCCAGGTAGTATAATAATGGATGTCACCTAGTTACGTTTAACGTTTTTTTCACAAAAAAACGTTTTGGGTCATCAAAGAATAATAATTGTTAGAAAAAGTGTGTTGACACTAGGAAGCTCAGTCCATACAAGTTACACAAACACCTGACTTGACCAGAGGCTGGGGAGATCAGTGGAGTAGGGGGGGATGTTTCCAAACAGTGGAGCAGGGTGAGGTTTGTTGAGGGCAGAGCAGCCACTTGGCTGTTTGCCTCCAGATGGGACACTCCCGCCATGAGCACTCTGTCAGCAACCATTATCAGATAGTCATTGCCTCTGTGTCACTGGGCAGAGCTGTGGGCAGGTAAGCTTTCCACACAGGACAATTGGCTCTGTCATGCCTGAGCAATGGTCTGGGG